AAATTTTGTAAAAATTGTGGACACAGTGCAGCACCAGTCTTTTTTGGCCCATTTTGGAAATATGGGCCAATCTTAATTTACGAATTGGGCCTGGCTGCAGTACTTCTATGCAACATTTTTACAAAAAGATATATAATTTCGAGATTTACTTATATTTCTTTTTGGTGTTAAAAATAATTATTAAAAAAATATATAATTGCCAAAAATGAGGATAGCTCAGCACATATTTAAATGAAATAAAAAATATTTGCTTACACACGATCCCTAGGAGCTTTTAACTTTGATGTATTTCTAGTGACTTAAAAATTTTAGTAGGATTGACCTATTTATTAAATGCAGTAAAAATAGACCCATGAAAATGTACTACCTTAGAAAATTAGTAGAAGCTCCTATTAACTTATAGGTAAGTGTTAAGGTGAAGGTTGTGTCCATCATGATGATTCCAATTACTAGTTCGAGTTCAGTTCAAGCTTTGATTAGTGTTTGCCTAGTTCTTGAACTAACAAGACAATGTTTATTGTTGCGAGTGATTATGATTTCAGTTACGACCAATAAATAATTAATAATATTTGAATAGATGATATTCTCATTTCCCATTGTTTTCCTCTCCCTTTCTCTCTCCAGCCTAATAAATATGACATGAAATATCGAATAAAATGTTAAATGTTGATGTTTATGGATATTTCTAAAAAAAAATTTATAAAAATAAAACATCATAATAAATATTTAAAATGACGAAAAATATTTCTTTTTTTTTTCAGATACGTACATTAATATTATATTTGTTATTGATGCAATTTTTGGGAATCCGATTGGACTGAAGGTTTGGGTTAATCGAATCGTATAATCCCAGTGGGTCGACCATCGAGTGATAAAGGAGAGGTTGGGTCTAGCTAGGAGAAGCCGTGACTCGATGGATTGTGAATAGGGGATGGACAAAATTTTGTTATTTGGAAGACCGAACGAGTTGATGGTCCACACAAGATCTTGGCTCCGAAAGTTTAGGCAAAAAAGACTTGCACAAAGAGATGGTGAGTGGATGTCGGCGTAGCGCCGGCCTACCATAATCTGATGCTTAAGTCAATATATGAACTTAAGAGGAAAGGAGTAAAGAGTATGAATGGAAAGAAAATGACATATCTTAGAAGGTTAGAGACCTTAACTATTCATATGAGAGGTGGTAATGTGAAAAATCAATCTCATAATTTTAAGGGTGGTTGCGCATCGTGGTGTGAAATTGAAACCACACAACGAGTGCACGTACTTAGCCGCACAAGGCCGTATATGGTTGCGGCCATGCAATGCTACAGCCACATAGGCGCACGGCAGTGCAAGGGCCAACCTGCGCACGCTTAGCCGCCCAATACGCAGGACGTGCTACCCACCTACTTCTCTTTGGGTAGCTTTCTTTCAGCCCAACCTCAAAATGGATCTTATTTAAGCTCATGCTTATCTGGTAAATTCTCCATCAATATCCGTGTTAACATTTAATGACATTTTTGTTGATATCTTCACAGTGTTCCTATGATGCTATGAAAATGTTAATTCACTGCTCATACCAATAAATGTTTAAAAATACGGACATGTCTATAAAAATTTAATAGTATCAAAACGAAATGAAGTAGGTAATTAGTGGACGAATTTTAACCAACGAAATTTGATATGGAGGCGACAACGATCGTTGGTAGTAGGTAAAGTGGCAATCTTGATATCGGAGCGTGACACCACATCAAGCACAAGAGAAGAAGCACCACCTTTTTTTTTTTTTTTCTTTAGGTTAATAAATAAAACATAAACTATAAATTCTATTACCCACAAAAATAAAAAATAAAAAATAATTATTAATGGGCTCGGCTTGGCTTAGCTAAACGCACTAGGAAAAAAAGTAGCGCAACCAATACCCTGACTTTTGGGGCCCCACCCACCACCTACAACTCCCACTCTCACCAACCCCTATCCTCTCACCAAACCTTTTTTTCCCCTCCTAAAATTTTGTTACCATACCCCTTTTAAATTAATGGAGGAAAAATAAACTTTGACTATTTTTTCTTTTCCAAAAAAACGTGAAGGATGGACTCACCAATTTTTTTAATCACAGATACGTGGTTTAACTAATTGAACTAAGTTTAGGTTGGTAAACTTTTGACTGCATACCATATTAATGATCTTTTCTAGTTCAAAATCTGAATCTATCTTTTTTTTTTTTGACTTTCGGACATAAGAGAGTTTGAATTTGGATTTGGGTGTTAGTCCTGGATTTTTGGATGTCAACATCCAAGCTTCTCTTGTCACTGCACCAACATCCGAAAGTGCTTTAATCTATCTTTTTACTCTCATTCGTTATACTATATCTAAAAATAGTATCCGCTCGTTTTTCTTTACTTTGGATATAGAGTAGTGGTGACGATGGTTATTTGAACTTCTACTTGTCTTTAGAAAAGTTATTTAAGACATGTTTGTGACGTTTCTATTTCTTTTTTTTTTCTTTTTTTTTCAATCAAGAAAAATAGAATTACGACTTGATTATTGTTTTTGTTTCTTTTTATTTCTCTTTTATTGAAAAGGAAACGAAAACATGTCTTGTAATTATTTCTTGTTTGTATTAAATATTCTTAAAAATTTTATTTATATTTATTTCTCTTGATATATGTTAGGAGTTTTTAAATAAAAATGATAAAATAATACTTTTATCTATATTTTGAAAAAAAAACTAGAAACAAAAATAAGAAACAACCAAATTTACTTTGTTGCTTCCAAAATTACCACATAAATTTGAAAACATTTCTTAGAAATAAAAAATAAAAATAGATATCAAATACTTATATTTCTTATATAAATTTGAAAACGTTTCTTAAAAATAAAAAAATAAGAAATATAAATAGATTTCAAATACTTACATTTCTTAAAAAATTGTAAACGAGAAATCGAAAAAAAAACGAAGGAAAGAAATTAGAATATTATCAGATTATCCCTTAACATTTTAACCATAGTTGAACTCTTCGGTAGCCAGGTTGGCTAAAACATTCTCTTACCTAAAATATTTTATATGTTTAACTATAATTTAGAAGTATTTTCCTAAAGAGTTATTTTCAAATAAATAATTGATGCGTGTTTTTATCAAATAGTTTTGACTAAAACTTTTATCCTTGATATCTTATGTCAATTTTCTTTCGAGAATTATTTTATGTATATTTTTTTTTTCATAAACTACTCTTTCTATATTTTTTATGGTATTACTCCCATCATAGCATAACTCAAATATTATATATTTTCTTTCACAATTTCTCTTTTTATATATTTTTTCTAGTATTTTTTCTTTACATATTTTAAACTCACATGCAACTTTTCTTACTCGTCTCCTTTCCACGTAATTTTTTTTTTCTTAATAATTTCTTTCTGTAAACACTATCTCTTATTCTAATCGTCAAATATTAGTGGAGGATTTCATTCTAGTACGGTGTCATCTAATTATTAGGTTAAAAGAAGTTTTGAAAAAATGGAACAAAATGCACCATAAAGCAATTTATTATTTTATTTTGAACTACTTATAATGACAAATATTTCCTAGATTTTAACATACTCTTAACTCTCTCTTAAACCTTGTAAGGGTAAAGAAAAAGAAGAAAAGCCAGGAAAGATGTCACATTTCCCCAACATGCGTTTAAATTTATTATTTTTTATGCGAATAAGTATCGGTGTAATAATTGACACATATTTCCAATTAAGAAGTTGTAAGTTCGAATCACACCCCTACAAAAAGTTTATTATTTTTTCTAGTTTATATCTTGTTTTGATCTTAAAATTTTCTACTTATTCTTGGTAATACTAAAATTTTAAATATGTTTGTATCCTAAACTTTTAAATGTCCTATATTAATGCTTAAATTTTATATTAAAAAAACAAAATTTATTCATACATGCACATTGGTTAAGTAGGAATTCTGACTTTGGCCTATTTATGTAGAACTATTTTTATTGAATTTAATAGTGTATAGGAAAGTATTTTCTCCTCATTTATGTCCAATAATCTATAAAAAAAAAAATTAATTCTAACAATAACTATAATAGTTTAAGCTAACATGAACTGTCCTAATTGGCACACGTCTTTGACTCTATCATAAATTCGTCTCTTCTACTCTCATTTATTGTATTAAAAAAGCTATAATAGTTTAAGACTACTATGGTTTTGTTATTGGGCACATTTTTTAATGATTTTAGAAAATATAACAATATATGAAATTTGAGGACCAAAAAGTCCAAAACAAAATTGAAAATTCCCGTTTAGTCCCTTCACCAACCCCCATGGCTCCTATATGTTCGAATTCCCCTGCCCTCACCCAACTCAGAAGAACGATTAACCTAAAAAGTTCATCTGTTCTTCTTCATCTCTTCAAAATCTAATCGCCGGCCGCCGAGATCCAAGAAAATGGCCACCGAAACTCTTCCGAACGACTTCATTTTCCGGTCAAAACTCCCCGACATCTACATCCCCAAACACCTTCCCCT